GACCTTATGATAATGCTATTAATGTACAGGATCTAACATCACATAGCTGAATCGAAAATTCATTATTAAGATGGCAGTAAAGGAAAATGGTGCAATTTGGTGGATGGATACTTCAGTACGATGGAAACGAGATTACAGAAATTTGGTTTATGATGAGATCACATGTCAAGGAACTTCTACTGCAGAAGAGTTTTTCAGGTTGTCTTCGTATTTTTAATTCCTTCACCACTTTGTAGGCAAAAATATGAAAGTAGCGAAGAAGGCAAAAGTGGCAAAAAAGCAGCCATCGCCCTTAAAATGATGTGAAACTCTTCGATCACGACAGTTCCTTTCCGCTAGGCTCAAATGTTTTAGCTCATAAATCACCNAGGTTGTCTTCGTATTTTTAATTCCTTCACCACTTTGTAGGCAATAATATGAAAGTAGCGAAGAAGGCAAAAGTGGCAAAAAAGCAGCCATTGCCCTTAAAATGATGTGAAACTCTTCGATCACGACAGTTCTTTTCCGCTAGGCTCAAATGTTTCAGCTCATAAATCACCTTGTTGACTTTTCTTCATTAAAAATGAGAAAAAACAAAATTAAATCCGACTTTCGGAAAACTTAAAACCTAAAGAATTGTTTAATTGACAGAAAAAGATTCACACATGCAGTAAGAGGGATCTTCTGGTTGACGATCTCTTTGTAGCGACGATTGAACGATTTTCTTTTGGCGATTCAGTGAAAGTGAAAGGACCAGAACTATGTAGTAATCAGTAATAGGTGTTCTTTGAAAAGTCTAATGCGAGTTACTATGTGTATAATACATGTACCAAATTCCGCGCAGATTTCGAAGGAACTGAACAACGTTGACCGACTAGGTCGCATTTTGAGAAGCCGGGATCAACTTGTATTAGGTTGAGTCATAACTCTGACAATGTGATAGTTATGATTTTTAGAGATCATACCTGAGAGGTGACGAAGAGGTGACGAAAATGGACGCGCAAGGCATCGTTAGATAGAGCATAAAACCCTTTTCTGAAAAACACATTAAGGAATACACCTAACCGTCCCCTGCGCTTGAGTGTGAGGAGAGAACGGGTCATGTCGGCGCGGCAGTCCATGTCATCTTGCATCAAAGCTTGAGGGACCCATCGACCGAGCTTTCGCACCTTACCGATTGACTTCAATCCACAAATAACTGTGGACTGACTCTCCAGTAGTGACTGTCAGTTCACGAGTAGATTGATACGGATCGGCTTCCACCTGGCACCGCAGCACCTCCAAATCCAACTCCATTGAAAGTCCCGGACGGTCTTCATTTTCGATGGGATGGTCGACCAACGTGAACTTCCTGTGCCACTTGTGAACTGTGCATCTAGCAGGAGCAACCTTCTTGTAAACTTCCTCAATACGTCAATCGATCTCCGCGGGTTCTTGGACAGATAAAAAAAGAAGCAGGGTGGTGTTGCGGAGGTGGAATTGCGAAGGCTTGAAATCATGGGGCATGGTTGCAGGAAAGGAAGCAGTTAGGTGTGTTTGCTGGGATATATTTGGAAGAGCTTTTCATACTCTATCTAACGATGCCACGCGCGTCCATTTTCGTCACCTCTTTCCCGAGTTATGATCATCACTAACACTTTGTACGAATACTTATGACTCAACCTAATCTGTATATCTAATTTGTCAAAAAGATAATAAATAAGAAAAAATCAAAGAAAATCTGAAATTTCATGCAGTAATTTCAGCTGGCTGGGATTTTCGCAAAACTCGAATGTTACCGACTGTGAAAAGGTATGTTTGATAAAGGTTTTGGGGCTGGACGTGGTGTAGTACCAAGTGGCGCTCTATTACACACGCTAATCACGGGTTCGCATCCAGGATCTACATCCTTCCAGGCCAACTAAGCCTTCCATCCATCCGGGTTCGGTTATTTGGTACCAGACTCTTTTGGGAGTATAAAAGTATTGACTTTTACCTCAAGTCATTGTATAGGCCACATACTTGTTCATTACGAGACTACAATTCTGAAAGAAGACGAATGCGTGGATGGTTTCATAGACGAGAGTAGCGCCCGAAGAATAGGGGGATTTGCCATGGGACCGATTGATGGAGTTAAGTGAAGCTGTTTGAATCGAATTGAACTCAACAAAGTAGCCAGATAGCACCCTCGTGACCCAGAATAGCGGGCATAGAAGAAATACAGTATCTCGGACTTTACAGACTCGTTTTTCAGTCCTCATACCTTCTACAGAGACCTTCTGAGCACAGTATTTATGCTACCACAAATCCTGGTGAGTTTCCACTCTTATGCACTTTTCACAAACGATTCAAATTTAATTTTATTTTCAGGGATGTACGATTACATTCCTACGATACTTAACAATCAATCGTGGAAATCTTGCGAGAATTATGATGCAAATTTTGCATTCATTGTCAAAACAAAGGAAACGATCAGTATTTTGAAATGGTAATGATTTTCACCGTTGGGCCGACGTAGAGAGCGTTCATATAAAAACTATGCGTTGTTCTTTGCCTAAGCTGTCATCCGCTGATCATCGATTTACTCGAGCTTGTGTCAGTGGCCTTTTTATTCGTTCCGCCCTGGTCTAACGCTCAATATTAAATCGCGTGTCATATCCAGTCCACCTGATCTTCGATTCCTCGGTATCACCAAGAGCGCCCCCTGTTGAAAGCAAAGACCTTCAAGTAATTCACTCAACATACAGGAGCTACAAGTTTTATTGGCTCTTCACGTTTGGAATCCTCTTGATTTTCCCAGTAACATCTCCACACTGCCAGAGGAACATGCGGAACCGTGCCTTCTAATTTATAAGAGTTATTTCAATACAGTAAGGCAGGATCTGCTCAATTACTCACTGTATCTCCTGAGCCTCGTTTAATCAGCGGAGAAAAGCAATCTGATCCAAATTTGGCAACGGATCATTCCTCCGGACAAGTATGCTCCTTTGAACGCGCGAAAATTTCGCGCATCCACTTTGCGGCGTGAATCTCTTTCATTTACTTAGCTATTGCTGAAATAATGTATAGTGGTAGGTTTGGAAAAACATATGAATTTTTTGATGTGTACGTACGGGAAGCTCATGGCATAATTGTCTAGTAGGACTCGATCTTATAGGCTAGTGTTGTGTGCACTGGAGATGGGCTGTATGGCACCCCCTGGATCACAACTCAACTGCGATTTCAACGGTGACCGTTACACACGGTATGCCAACTGTCATCGGTAAGTACATTATCGCGTTTCATTGATACGTAGTTATTCCAAGACTCATCCTTACTTCATAGGGTTGAACGAAATAATTGGTACCCAGAACTACAAACGGAAAAAAAACAACTCTCTGGCTGCTTTCATAGTCCACGATTTGGCGAGCGACCAGTCGCGCGATCAGTCGAGCGATTTGTCGCGCGATCAGTCGAGCGGTTAGTCGCACGATCAGTCGAGCGGTTAGTCGCGCGATCAGTCGAGCGACCAGCCGCGCGACCGCTCGTGGACTATAAAAGCAGCGACACTCCTTGATGATTTTTTTCCTGGGGAGGATGTGTGGAATGGTCCACATGGATATTAGCCTATGTATAGGGATGTGGTTGTAAGTTCTATGCCTTTAAGTGGGCGGGCGAGTCTAACGGGCGGCTCATCAGCAAAACAAACCGGCGTTTGCTACCCAGGCCTATATCTCTGTATAAGAAGTACCCCCTGATTGATTAGGATACACCCTAAAAGGGTGCCCGGTTTTGGAGCTAACAATAAGTCCGAAATATGAATGTCTGTCGATACTCCACGATGGAATGAAATTTCAATGGGATGTTTATGACCCCAGACCGGGCATCATTTTCAATTCACTGCCATGACCCGATTAAAGGTCAGGAAGCGCCATGGTCTACGCA